ATAAAATTTATATATAATGTGTATTTTTATTTTGCAAAAGATATATATTTTGTTCATATGCAATGAACAAAACCTGTAGCAATTAATGCAAGAGGAAATTTGCCTTTTTTTTTTTTTAAGTTAACTAATATCCTCAGCTTGTTCTTTTCTAGATTGGTGGAACTTATGCCAAACCAGTGATACTACCTCCTGAAGTAGCTATTGGAGCAGTTGGAAAGATACAGGTATAGTAACTTTATCTCAGTGGTGTGAGTGTTTAATTCTAGCTAACTAAGGTCATCTGTAATGAAAATGAAATGTGGTGTGTCCCTTTGTTTTGTTTTTATTATATAAACATTTCTTCTTTATATTACAGAAACTGCACAGCTTGTGACTGAAAAGTTTTGTGATGTTTTTAGATGACTGTGCAGACACACTAAATATTTAAATAAAGTCCCTTATGCCAAAGGTTCAGATGTGTTTTTTGGAATCCCGTTACATTTTACTCACATTTATGTATAGCCTTCTAGTTACTAAGAAACAACATAAATGTCTTTTTACAAGTTTTGCAACATGGCTATAGCATTTTTGCTATCATCAAGGAGAAAACCTGAGACTAAAAAAGTATTCTGACAATGAAGTTTAATTTCATGTGCCAGATAGCTGGATCCATACAGAACTCTGTATGGTGAAGGCGGTTTCATATTTTCTTAATTTCAGGCTCTAATTCTTTAATATAGACAATTGAGATCAATGCTGGAAATTAAATTAGTGTTAATTTAAAATACTCTTTTCTATGTTATTCCTATGAGCCTTTTATTTAGGGAATGCTGTAAGGAAACTGTCATTTTGAGCACTAAGAGTGTAGTAAACTATTCAGAAAGAAACTTTTGAGTCATGAAAGGTTTTCACCTCCAGTTTTTACATGATGGTGTAAACAGCATATGACTGTTTATTATGTAGGTTTGCAATATATTCTAATCCGTAGCACAATCAATAATGCAAAGGTCTTTGTTTTCTGAATGGCACTACTGCTAATTTAGCAAAATGTTTAAATTTAGATTAACAAATTAACAATTAAAAAATACAGATCTGTTAATGAAAGTTTATTATATTTCTATTTCTTTCCTTCCTCTGATTTTTAGGTTCTTCCTCGGTTTAATGGAAAAGGTGAAGTATTTAAAGCACAGATAATGAATGTGAGTTGGTCAGCTGATCACCGCATCATTGATGGAGCTACAATGGCCCGGTTTTCTAACTTGTGGAAATCTTACTTGGAGAACCCTGCTTCGATGCTGCTAGACCTTAAATAAAGGAAACCATGGCTTGAAATGTCCATGGCTTTAAACTTTGTGGATTAGACTGAATAATTATAAAAGCTGGCTCTGCTAGCACATGCCCTTTGCTACTCATATGATATATAATTTTGTGTGGTTAAAAGTTCTCAAGAGCTGGTATCAATCTATCAGTTAGTTGTTACTTCTTTTAATTATTAGTGCTGTAATTTCTTCTACAGCGGACTGTCAAACTGAATAGGTCATGGTGCGACTTCTGAATACGGTGATGGAATGTCTTTATTTTGCCTTTTATAATACATATGGTTGTGAGGCTGGTGTGACTGAATGACAGTGATTTACATTTGCAGTATTTATAACCTGATTAACCTGTTTTGAAGGGAAATACTCATAGTTCTTCCTTGTTGGACACGTAAATTTATTTTAACAAATAATATCCAAATTTCCAAAAGAAGTTATGCAAAAATCATATACAAATAAAATGCCTTTTATGCTTCTGCTATAAGATGTCCGGAGAGCTTTTTGTTGTTCAGTTGAGTCAACCTCTCAAGTCTTTTGCTAGTCCACTTTTTCCTGGCAATTACTTGCACAGGTACTCTTTATGAAATTACAAATCAAGAGGCCATATTTATTCAAATGCTTACTGATAACATTTATTGATAACTATCAGGGCCTTAATACTTTCTAGACTATCCTGTATTTTTAGAGACTGGAAGTAGTTGCAGTCCTTAAATACTTTCCAGTTATTTTTGTTTCATATAGAAAGCATCTGTCTGTTTAAAAAAAAAAAAAAAAAAAAAAGAGGATCTCATTTGTTATTCTGTCATTAGGTAAGCTTGACAGTAAGCAGAATGTGTTTTAAAAGCTTGCATCACCTTGTATTATTGATGTACAGGTAGTAGAATTTGACAGATTAATCCGATACAACAAAGAATTAACATTAAAAAAATACTATGTGAGAGAAATCCCTGGAAACATTCCAGGTCAGGTTGGACGGGGCTCTGAGCAACCTGGTCTAGTTGAAGATGTCCCTGCTTATTGCAGGGGGGTTGGACTAGATGGCCTTTAAAGGTCCCTTCCAACCCAAACTATTCTATGATGCTGTGATAAGGCTTAAACTCGGATATGAGGTACATCATGAACAGGTTCAAGTTAATGCCTTCAGAACAGACAACACTTATGGGGCTTTAAGGTAAACAGATGTTGAGAATTGCACTGGTTATCTCCTTCATAACAGGAGATATGAAGAAAACTGTTGGCTATGAATACCTTCTAGAAACATAAGTTGCAAACAGACACAAGAAAAGACAGTTACATGGCCTTAAAAATTAATTTGTGAGGCACAAAATGGACATTTTCTCCTTTCTTTAGATATACCAAAACCTGCCTCTACAGGAGCATTCTCCACAATTGTAGACCAAAGTTGTCTATTGCCTTTAGCTGTGAAGATGCAAGACACAAGCCACCAGAGGTAGAATCTCTGCTATCCCTGATGCTGAGACTGAGCAAGAGGAAAGCTGGTAATGTAGGGGAGGGAGCATGGGAGCTTACATGTAAGGTGCTATTTATATTTCTACTTTGGAGTTAGGGTCTTTTATATATAGGTCATTTCTTGCAAAGTTTGACTAATATGTCGTGCTTATCACCTATTTCATTTTTATCATACTTTTTTATTCCAAATAAAAAAAAATTAAAGCCACAAAGAATTGTAGTAATATTGTTTCTATTTGTGAATTTTATGCAGGCAATCCTGTACAGGTGACTCAAACTTCTGTTTCTTCTTACCTTTAAGAACCTACTGCACTCAAGACTAACAAAAGAACACAGCCTAATGGCTACTTTCCTACAAGTATATTGTTGTGGTAAGGGCTTAGTCTGAATAGTATATTTTTCAATCTGATTACCATGGAGAAAAGAAATTGAGGAAGTACAAGTGTACGATAGAAAGCAATAAAGTGAGTTTGAAATATTTGAGACAGAATAACTTTGCTCACACAAGGAGCCTGAAATTGCTTGGTCTTTTCAAAATGTGAATAAACGGGAAAGGTGGTTTTTTGTTGTGGGTTTTTTTTGCTAGATCTGGAGGAAGAAATTAAATAGTTAGGTTTTTAGTTATGACTTTTTTAGATCAAGAAAAAACACTGATTAAAAAACACTGTGGGGAACTAATCCAAAACTGAGAGCAGAAATACATATACCAAAGATCCTGTTGGATCACTTTTCCTTTTACATAACTTAAAAAAAAGAAAAAAGCGTAGAAGATTGAAAGCTAAAGGAGTTAGTGTGTTTTTAAATAGGTATTGGTGTTCAGGCAGGTAGTTTGTTATGCACTGGAGAGGGTTTTTTGGTTATAAAGTTCTATATAGTAATGCTAGAATCTAAGGCCAATAATGAGGAAAAAATATTTCTACTGAAACAGGGTTATAACCAAATGAATTATATTTTTAAAATTTCATCTTCATTTTATACTCCAGTGCAAGAATTGGTTAGAATCACCCAGTTTTATGGCTTCTGTCTTAAATAGTGACCTGTGATGATTGCTGTCTCTGTCTTCATTTGGTTGAAGAAAAAGATTCTGACAAAGTTGTTCTCCTTTTATCTTCTCCAAGGGCTCTTTGAAGAAATAGAATATTAAAAATGTTTAATGTTTAGAAGCATGAAAAGGGATGAGTAATAACCCCTCTGCATATACTGGTAAAGATTACTTTTCTGTCTGGACTTTGACAATTTGCACTAAAATTCTTGACAAAAGAATTCTTCAGCACGGGCAAAAGTAATGAGTAAAATACTTGGTGATGTAACACTTTTTGTAGTTTAATTAGTAAGTGTTTAATTAATGTCTTTAATAGCACTTTGAAGCTCAGTTATCTTGCAGAGAAACGTTACTAGAATAAAGCAAATAATTGTCATTTTTAATTCAAAACTAGCTTATTTTTCATTGTGGAACATAACAAGTATTCCTTTGTTCTTTTTGTTCACAATTTGTAACTTTTGTTAATGGGAGTCCAGGTGTTTATGTGAGTCCAGTCATGTACAGCAAACTGGGAAGACACTGAGAGTGGTAAATGCTTGGGGGGGTTGCAGAAGTGCCTCATGTGATACCTTCTATTCTCAGCATAGGTTAAAATTAGAACTAGACTGACATTGCGCTGGAGTCTGAGTTCTAAATGGTTTTGGTAGTGCAGACAAGATTTGTAATTCATCTCTGTTCTTGCCCAGAAAGCAATGAGTCACTGAAAATCCTTGAAAACCAAATAATTGAGGTAAGTTCTTAAACTTTTTCAGATGCTTGGAGGTGAAGTTGTTGGGAGATGTGATTACTTGGGAGTAAATTTGTGGTTGCTTTACAGCCATGCTTGGGAATTCACTTCTGAATTGTTGGCTGTGATGGCATGATTATTACGGTTTTTATTTCCCTGACAAATAGTAAGATCTAAGAACAAGAAGCTTTTGATGGTAGTTCTGTTATTATATATTAAATCTCTTTGAAAACAAAATCAGATATTTAGGCCCTCTTCCATATTTCATGGTTCTAAAGCAATGTTTATTGAATAGTACACTTTGCACAGCAAAAGAGAGTTGCCCAGTGTAAACTTTACTAAAAATAAGTATAGTTTGATAGTGGTTTTAGTAGTACAAGTATTAACAAATATATCTTTAGAGATTTGCACTGCAGTGTCTCTTTTCTGCACAATTTATATAAAAAGATTTTTAATTGTCTACCTAAAAAGTTTTATAGCTCAATAAATGTCTCTAAACAACAAGAAATGATAGATCAGATAAAGCACTTAATCTCAGTAAAAGTTTAATCCTGAAGAATAAGACAATTTAAATTGTAACCACTAATCAGAGGAAAAAACCTGACACAATGTCTTAGTCATTACTGGAAAAGGTAATTGCTATGAGGATCACTGAAAGAGGAGTTAATCCTTGAAACTAGTGAATGTGATCATGTTGATGTGAAGGGGGGAAAGAGGATAGAATCCTCTCTTTACAGGAAAAAAATTAATCCCATTTTAGGAACCCAAGTTCCAGACTGCATTGTGCCACACTGTGGTTGCCATTTGCGTCACCTGTCGAATCCTGCCATTTTTCCTTAACAGAGAACAGTTAAGTATCCTTAATATTAAATTATGATTTGATCTTATGCTGTCTTTACAACAGGGAGCAATCCTGACAATTTACACTTCTTATTATTGGCTTGCTTATACATTTTTAATTAAGTGATTTCAGTATAATCAGGCTTTACAAATAACTATGTTAGTGAAAGGCATGGTAAACATAAAATGGAATGATTGACAGTTTGAACGCAAAAATGTTCACTAAGCAATTGTGGCACATCCATGCCACACAAAATCATAATGGAATAAATATGATAGAAAAGATTGCTCTAAAAGACAGACCTGCAGCAAGTATTGTAGGGAATGAAAAGACCTGAAATTCCACTTTTGTTGTTCTCTACCTGATTGTTTGGAAGAAAGGTATCCTGACTTTTTTAGTTCGAATGGATATGCAAGATGTTTTTCCTACTTGTCCCTGCAAGTATTAGTAAAAAGTTTGAAAGGGAGCGTTCAAATCATCAGTGTTCAGAGTACACTGCTGTTGGCATGAAGTTTAGCCCTCCAAACTTAGCTGAATATCAGTATCATGGCTCCAGTTTATTTCCAAAAAACCTCTTCCTCAAATGACTACAGTAACGGCAATAACAATGCTTTTTAGAGGGATGCACTGAGTATCCTACTTTGATGCTTTTCAGAAAAATATGTATTAATTATTTCACTAGGGAATAGATGCTTTCAAAACTTTAGGACAATTTTTTTTTTAAATGTGGATCCTGACACTCGGCAGGGCTACAAGAAGATTCAAAGAGAGATCTGAAGAATTTAAAAAACCTTTTCTTAAAGGTAATGCATTACTAACTATAAAATATATTATGAGTTAAACTATGAAGAAAATGAATGCAAATAAAGTATACTAATTTATTTCCAGCAACAGTTCGGTTTCTCTGAAGTGCAAAACTCCTTTAGTTACAAGTGTTTATACCAGGTAGCTGCAAGGATTTAATTGCCATAAATTGCAGGCAACAGCTTAATTTCTTCCTGAGAGGGGAATGAATGCTCTTATCTGCATTTAATAATTACGGTTAATTCTCAGCCTACCATTGGAAGGAATTGAGAAAAGCAGTTGTTCACTAAGAATGCAGAGAGATTGCAAGAATACTGTTTCTTATTCTAAGAAAAACTAACTAGGTGTAATTATCTATTTTTATAAAGAGAAAGGAGTTGGTAAAATTCTGTCACCTCTAGACATTAACTAAATTTAATAATATAATCTAGTGGGTATTGCAGTATTTTAGTTTTCACGTCACTGTCCCCATCTGGTAGCTGATACATGCGGTGATGCATTGAGCCTGAAATTCACAGTCGGATTCCTGTGACTGAATCTGAACATGTGAGGAACATGACTGAAACTGCAGTTTGTGTTGGAACATTCACTGCTG